GCCGTGGGCTCTCCACCCGCTCCTCAAGTACACTGAGATCGTCACCTGCACTCTGTCTGCTCTCAGCTCTGGGCTGTGGCCCAGGAGAACCATACATCACGCTAAACTGTGTCATCCTGTACCGGCTGCGTGCGGGAGGAGCGAGGCTGCTGAACTCATTTTGCCTCTGACCTGAGCAGATCGGAACGGAGGTCTGCGGGTGGGCAGCCAAAGGGCTGTGCTGAGTGCTGGTGCTCCACCTCACCAGGACCTGCCTCTTCCAGGAAAAAATCCTCCGATCCCTGCGGCAGGAGCCAGACCTTTGGGCTGTCCCCAGAGCGCCGAGGCAGCGCGCTCGCCCCCTCTGCTTCCCGAGTGGGGTTTTTATCAGCTGCCTGCCTAGGCCCGAGCTGATACTGAGCTGGTGCTTGGGAGCGTGTGCTCGGAAGTGGCTAATTGTTTAATGCATGATGTTATCGCTCTTTCTAGTGATAGCCGTGGTGCAAAATGAAGTAAAAGCTCCGGCTCTCCTTGCTATCGCTTTCCCAGGAACTCCTAACCTTGTGAGTGCTGGCTTGTCCTTTCCGAGGCTTTCTCAGCCTGGCTCCAGCTTCTTACCTGCACGGACACCAGCTTCGATTTCTTTGCTGCTTCCAAGTCTTACTGGTAAGATTTCGAAAAGCCAATTCCCTCTATAAAATATGCACTGAAAAAGAGGAACCACACAGCCCTGCCAAGAGCAGCACCAAAACTGGGCCCTGTTAGGAGATAATTCTGCACGTGGCTCTGTGGCTGCGTGCTTTGTCCAGGCGGGGTCACCAGGCAGCGAGGGCTTCGTGCAGTCGTGTTTATCAAAACCAATTCTCTGAAGGATATAGGAATCAAGCATCTTTTCTTGCAGTTTCTTGCATGCAAACCTTTGGCATGGCATGTTGCTTAAGATAAGTTTCTCCAAGTGGTTATAAATTATTAGCAGCTGTGGCTAATTAATCTCAAGGGTTTACTGGTAAGATCGTCTAGCACATAAAATAAAGCATTCATTCCGTTCTTACTCGGCCCTTCCTTGTAGTTTACAGTCTGGATCTGCTAGTTGCTTCACACGTGAATTTGGGCAAGTCATGTACCTCCTGCTGACTTAATTTCTTCCATCGAATGCTAATTCTGGTAGCTCCTAGCAGCTTTTGTGGGCTACTTTGAAATCGTACGAGATGACAACCACAAGTGAGTTACTAACTGGCCTTGGCAGAGTTCCACCAGTAGTACGTCTGTTGATATGGGGGCTGCAGGGAAAGGCACCGCTCTGTCTTGGTGGCGATATTACTGGAATGAGGTTTTGGTCCAGAGCTGTGGAGACACGTGAGGCTTCTTCAAAGGAACACATTGGGTCATTCAGTGCCTGTAGAGCTCTAGGTAATGGAAAGGCACTTTGTGACATGGCTCTTATTTATTACTTTAACTGGAGGTTACATTGAGAGGAACCACTCTCCAAAATGTCTTAGGATCCGAAACGTACCTTGAAAATAAGTCGAGCTCAAGTCCTTCAATTACTTAGATTATTTTGAATTTTTTTCTGCTCTGTTTTAATTAAGTTGTACAGCGTGTAGTAGCAGGGATGTGTGCTGTGATCAGCAGCGAGCCGCGCTCCCTGCTCTACCTACGTACGCTCAATGTATAGAGATCATGTCTTCAGCGGTGGGCGGCTGGCATTCTGGATAAGGACCTGCCTCTGAGTCAGCTCTAATGGATTTAATTCTCCCGTTAAGGCAATAGTGGCTTACGCTTCTCAAGTGAAAAGCCCTTCTGGGTTGTGTTGCTCCAGATAAAGTATTACATGCTGTACTAGCCATAGCATGCTTCAGAGGCTGCTTCCAAAGCCGTGCTGCGCTCCCAGCTTTAATGTGCTACAGAATAGGCAGGACCTTGACAGCTCGCTAAATCAGAGCCGTGCTTTGGAGCCATTACTCGCAGCACGTGTGTGGCTGGCTGAGCAGCCCGAATCGCAGAGAGGCTGCAATTAATGGTGCATCGCTGGGAGCTGCTGGGCTGGGTTCCTGCCCTGGTCCCAAGTAGGAAACGATCCCAGAGCAGGCAGGGTGTTATGAAGCACAGCAGGAAACAGGCCGGCAAGTCTTGGTGATGGTGAGTTGGGCAGGGTGGGAGGAGAGGAGTTGTTGGGTATTTCCAACTGGCAATACCTGGCCTGGGGAAAGACGCTGGCGTAGGGCATGGCTGCTGTCATCCTGTCACCAGGCTCACTGCCTGCAGCCTCCTGTGCTGTATCTGTGTCCAAAGGTCCCTTAGTGCATCGAGCGAGACTTGAAATGAAGTGTTTGCCATCCCACCCATAGCTGCCTGGAGAGAAGCACAGCTAAGTACGTGGACAATGCTCAGGCAAGTGATGTCTTCAGAGTTTCTCCCATGTGACAGCCATGGAAACAGAAATTTGATTTTTATTTTTGCAGGGGGAGCAAAATTTTCTAATTCCTCTGCTCTATTTTTTTTCTGTCCATTTGGATGCTTGGAAGTTATAGGGTCAGTTCAAAAGAGTCCATGAGCATGGTAACGCAAGCAAGCCAGCATCCACATGCTCACTAGACTGACATCTGCACCACCGCTGGAAATACTCTCAGGGTTTGCAAAGCAGAGACTACTGAACTCAACTAGCCCATGCTTTTATCTGAATTTTATAGGTTTTGTAAAATGGGAGGGGAGACAGGAACGTGGTTCGCTATTTTCAGCTGAAGTGACAGATGACTGGGCTGTGCACAATGCGTGGTGCAGAGCGCACAGGATGTGGAGAGCCATGTTGTTTACAAGGCTCCTTTTTTTTTTTTTTTTTTTTTTGCCTGAAGTGATTCAGGACAATCCACTGCTCATGACAATGGGAGGACGAGAGCATTGGTTTGACTCCAGGCTGGCAGTAGGTCTCCCACCTGTGGTGCTGCCCTCCCTTTAGCTCCTTTGCCCTGTGCTTCCCCCACGTGTCTCAGGCTGTATCCAGACCCTCTGGTGGAAGTCCCCAGCTCTGGCCTTGCCTATCCTGTACCCCTCTGTGGAACGGTGAGATTAGACCAGAAATATATTTTCCATTCTCCTAATTTTGGTTGAGTGATCAGATTTTAGCTGTGACAGCTGTGATTCGTGCTGTTGGAGTAAGCTCTGGGCTGTCAGCCTGCCCAGGACAGCAGCCTGTCCCGTGCTTTGCATGGCCTTTACGGAGGTGCCCGAGTGCCCCGTGCACACAGGGAAGCAAACCACTCCTCAGCCTGAAGTACTGCTCCTACGGGTATGAGGCTGGAGCCCCAGAGCTCCCCATTTACTCCAAGACTGCAGCCCAAGCAATGCAGTCATAAATGAGGCCGATTGCTGGGCACAGGCAGTTCTCTTGCCCATGTGGAGCTGAATGGCTCTGTCCAGACTTATTTCTGCAGGGCGTTCATTTATCAAAGTAAGCGACTTGTCTAGCAAAGAGTTGCCTATCTGGAGGATTTGCTTGACCACAGAAATCAGTGGTACGAGTCCCACCTCCTCTCCGAGCAGAGGCTTTGGCTGCAAGGAAGCAACAGCAGGACCATCGCTCGTGGACAAGGATACGAGGCAGACGCACGGTGTCTCTGGAACATCTGCAGACAAAGTTTTTTTGATGTCTGCTTTATTCAGTACATGTATGTGCCTGTGGATTCTCATTTTCACTGCTGCTTATCTGTCTGATAAGTATGTCCGTGTGAATTAGAGGAAAAATAGACCAGGCTTTTCAATGAGTATCTCAATTAAGGTTTTTTTAAAACATATTTTCTCAAGGATATTTTTCACTGACACAGTGGTAACATCTAAACCTGCTCTGAAAAGCTGATATCTAAAGCATCTTGCTGTACTTAATGGTGGATATGTAGATAGTGCCTTCCTTTTCTACCACGTGTGGCCTCATAGTTAACCCTCACAGCTCCACCAAGACCTGGAAAGATCTCACCGAGCAACTGCAAGGCAGGAGAACTGCTCCAGGTCAGCGGGAAATTGGTGTGGGAGCTGGGACGGGATCCAGATCTCCCAAGGCAGTAAGAAGTTTGGGTTTTGAGGAATGTCTCCAAGTACATCTGGAAAGTCAGTTTGCATTAAAAAAAAAAAAGAAAAAAGTTCTTCATTCCACAGCCATTGCAGGAACAGCGTCTCATTTGTTCAGAGGTAAGAATAGGAAGTTTCTAAGCGGCCTGGTGGAAAGGCTGCAGGGAATTCTTGTATCTGAAATCCTCTAATGGTTATTGCAAACCTCTCCTCTGCGGTGGATACGGGTTTGTACTGGGAAATTGAATTAGGGCTTCTTATTGCAGACAGGTCCGGTGAGACCTTGGTAACCTCAGCTGAATCTCCTGCTGGTAAGGACACGGTTACCTGTGCAAAACAGCTCTGCCCTTCCTAAAGATCCCAAAGATCAACCTCCTGGCCGATCCCTCAGCAGATGGCACAGGGCATGGGTGGAAAACTGGCTTGGAGGCTGTCGGTATGAGCTCTGTGCTCCTTACAGGCTTGGGAAAGCTGCATTTCTGAGGCCACTGCGGGAGGCTCTCTCCAGCACTGAGGAGCTCCCGTGCCTCCCATTCCCTATTATTCCCTTAATTACCAGCGATGTTCAGCTGGCAGCGTGGGGCTGGATCCTCCTCTGTGGTGCTGGCCAAGGAGACTGCTGGTGCTGTGTTCGATCCTGGCTTCTCTGCTTGCGTTGTGCAAGAGGGGAAGCTGCCTGGGAGAGAAGATGCCTCTGCTCCCCTGCTCATAACATGGCAGTCCTGCTACTCCAAGCCTCGCACCAGTTTCCATCTGTTTATCTGAAAACATTTTGTGAGGAGCACAGAGGAGGGATCTCAGGGGATCTGAATTAGCTATTGGCAGTCCTTCAGCTGAGAGTTAGTGAGGCGGAGAGCTCTAGCCCCACAGGTGGGTCAGGCTACACTAACCACCTACTCCTTTTGCATAATTGATGATCCCCCTGTGCAGAAACCCGCTCGCCAGTGCTCCTGGCTGGGTTACAAGCACACAACCACCTGGTGTGGCTGTAACAAATCCCTCCGTGCCCTGCAGTGGGCAGGTGGTGTGGTGTCCCACGGGGATTTGATCCCCGTCATACCCCAGGTATTGGGTTGCTGGGATGCGGGAACAGGAGCTCTGGTGTCGGGAGGTGACACCGGAGCTGGTGCTGAGCCCCTCCTGGGCACGCGGATGCGGGAGCCGCGGCGCAGCGCTCCGGCTGGGAGCAGCTACAGCAGGTACCCGGCCATGGATGGCACCATGTCCCTGAGGAACGAGGCAAGGAGAGGGCAGCACAGCGGTTTCCAAGGTAGGAATGCTGAATTAGCCATAAAACTGTAATTAACACAGCCGGGTGCTTGGCACGGTTGGTTATCCGATAGACCTTGTGCTGGCAACGTGTGCGACCCGTGGACAGCAGCTGGGTAACAACTGCAGAAGTATAAACCCCCTGCACCTCTTCTAATGGTAGTGGTGAGCTCCTGGTGTTCTGTACCAATTTTAGTGATTTTTTTCTTTTTTAGTTCTGGGAGCAAAGCTCCCATGTGGTTCCTCTTGCTTTTTGCAGCTTCCTCCATTCGCAGTCGGACTGTGCTGCCAAACAGCTGATGCCTTCTGCTCCAGTAGCAGCTGCCTTGTGTTGGGGGTTAAAAAAATCCTCTTGAGCTTTAAAATCTGTGATGAATGGGGCTAGGCAGACCGGACAAGTCACTGTTTATGCTCCAGATAGGACGTGTGGAGCTTGAATGATGGATCTGAATTCAGTTCATCACCCTCGCTGGGCTGACGGACCTCGGCGGAGCCTCTTGGGTTTACACGGGCTGGCAGTCTGATGTTTGTTGATTGGAGTTGCTTTGCTTCTAGACCCTTTGGAAAGCACTCGAAAGGGCGACGGATCCCCTGGGGCTGCACTTTCCCCCACTGGCTGGGCCAGCAGAGCCAGCTGTGCTGTGATGTGCTGGGTTCTGCAGGCTTGGTTGGTTTTCGTGATTCTGGTACCCCTCGCTCCTGGTAAGCATCCTGCTGCAGAGAAATCTCACTGGGTTCAGGTGATGGGCACGTTCATAGCCTCAGGGAACACAGCAGGGCCACGCTGCGTGGGTTGGGGCACTCAATCTTCGTGTTTTGCCTCGAGTTTTATGTTGAGGCAGCAACTCTAAAAGTGACAAACGAGCACTGGTCCAGTGCCTTGTCGGGTGCTGTGCGAAAGCAGACAGACACGGGCGGTTTCTGAAATTCCCAGCCCACCAGGCCATTAAACCATGCTTCGTAAAGCAGCTGGAGAACTACCCTGTTCCTAGATCAAGGGAAACCACGTGCACTTGTTCTGCGACAGTGAGTGGGGCCTTTCTGGAGCTCCTCTGTAGCTTTCTGACTGCAGAAGAACGTAAGAAATACCTTTTAAATCTGGGGCAGTAAGCTGTAAGACAGCTCATTTCTGAAGGGAAAATGCTGCTCCCCTCAGCACCTGAATTAAAACCTTTGCTTGCTTGGCCAGGCACCACTTTTTTTAAAAAAATTATTTATTTCCATCTTGTTTTGTTCCTTTCTGTCCCCGGAATAGCAGCCAGGGGGACACCAGCGTTTTCTGTGAGCTGTTTTTCTGGGAAAGGTGCTGTCCGTAGGGTGCATGCTGCCTGCACTAACTCCTCCTCTGAAGTGCGGAGCGCTTGGAATTGCCAAATTTGGACTTTCTCATTCCTTTTGTTTCCCCTCTCAGCCTTTATTCAGGGAAAAATGAGATGTGGGTGAGTCTGGAGGGGGGAGCAGCTCGGGAACCCCTGCCTGCGAGCGTGTCTGCTTTGAGCAGGAGCAGGAGGAGAAGCAGCAGGAGCTCAGCATGGTGGGGACCACCGGGGCCTCGAGCCCCACGTTTGCTCGTATCACTTCGTGTCTCAGAGGCCGGGGATCCCTCCTTGGCTCCAGAATTCATGCATCTGCACACCCTGCACCGCCAGGCCTGCCTCCCTCCCCGGGGCAGCTTTCTGCCACAGCCCAGTGGGGTTTTGCAGCCAGTCACGTTTATTGTCACTTAGGAGATTTGGATCTGTGATGCACATGGGATTTCCCTCCCCGACTTCCCCTCTCCGCCAGTAGCTTTTATTTTTTCTCCCCTTTATTGCTGGTTTCTGCCATTTTGGAGAGCAGCGAGCGTTAGCGCTGTGAAAACAACGAAACCACCAACCTTGAGAAAAACCTCAAGGAGTCGAGGGGACTCGTTTTCATTTCAGTTGGCAACTTCTGCAAGTGCTGAGCAGGAAAACATGATCTTCCCTCTTGTCATTTCTTTATAAGAAACAGCTTGAGCCCCGTGCGCGGGGCTGCGAGCTCTCCGGAGGGCTCCCCGGTGGGGCAGGCAGCCGGGGCCCCGCCAGCGGCCTCCTGCAGTTCGTGCTCCTCTCTTAATCTCCTGCTGCAGAAATCGGGACAGATCTCTGGATTTTAGCGGTGTGTTGTATTTTATCTTCTCTTTTCTTCCCCTTAATTTTGTTTTAGAAAGCAGCCGACCTGCCAACCACAACAAACAGCGGAGGCTCCTGTCGCCTGCGCGTCTCCCCCCGGCACCCCCTCGCCGGTCAGGGTTTATCTCCGAGCTTGGAGCCCAGCCTGGGCTGCGGATAACTTGGCGTTTACAATTCAGAGCACTACAATAAACAAGCAAATAGCTGCCCCTTTCCCACACACACACATATACGGTGCACGTATACATGCAGGGCGATGCTTAATGCTTGCTGTCCGTGGGCCTGGGGGCTGTTTATGTACAGCGCCGCGTGTTTATACATGGAGTTCATCTCCTCAAGTGAAGACAGATTAAGCAGCGGGGTGAATAGACCGGTTATGTGAACTATGGGATTTCCAACCTCGAAATACTGCCAAGACCGAGCCAGACAAATTGGTAGCACAGCAGTGTTTCTCATTAATGTACATGGAAAGTTGTGCCTTGCTGATAATGCACAACAGCATCCTGTTGGGAGCTTTGGGAACCCATCGGGGAGCAGCCAGCAGAGCAGCATTCGAGGCTGGGCTGTGTCTTCTCCTTGCCCTCTCTTTCTCCTCTGAGAACCTCGCAGGAGAAAAAAACCATGCAACTCCCCCGTGCTGACATCCTGCAGTCTGTGGGAATGGCAGCGTGGGGATGGCACAGTTTGCCGAGCAGAAATAAGGCTGTTTGTTAGGGCCTCCCTTCTCTCCCCACGGCCACTCCCTGCTGGATGTGGTTTCCTGGGTACGTGGCTGTGGTTCCCACCTTCCAGCCCAGCAAGATTTATTTAAAACTTGAAAATAAGCCTACCTGCCTTAATCGTACGTGGTGGTTTCCTTTGCTGCCCCAGGCGTTGATGCTGATGCACAGATCTGTGGGTTGGCTTTTGGGTTCTGCACTGGAGAGCTCTCCCGTGCCCTCCAGCTCCAGCACTCCCAAAACTTCACCTCCTAGAGACCGTGGAGAGCAGCAGCACAGGTGGTGATGCTGGACTGCTCATTCTGCTGGGAACCTCTGGGAAACCACTGGACAAAAGGAAATGCTCGCGTCTCCATCTCCCCACTCCTGACCAATTATTTCCAAGTTGGGTATGGGCAGGGGCAGCGTGTACTTGGACTAAAAGCTTGTTTATGGCAGGCTTTGGAGCAGAGGGCGGCTCCCGCCTGGCACAAAAGGTTAGTCACCTTCAGCCAAGCAACAGGAGAGGCCACGTGGGCTCATTGTTCGGCGTCAGATAAAGCAAAATCCCAGTGATCCCAGGTGGGCCAGGCTGGGAGGTGCCCTCTGCTTTCCCTTTGTGCCGTCAGGGTGGCGCTGGGAGCCCAGCCTCGTGTCTCCTCTATTCCTGCCCGTGATGGGCACTTCCATTCCGTCGTGGTTTCTGTCATCACTTAGGATACAGCTGCTGGTTTTGGCCAGCACGAGTGTCCCTGTGTAGGCACGGTGGGGAAAACACCAGGGCAGGCACGGGGTTGTACGGCACGGTGAGGTGTCCTGCAGCTGGCCAGACAGCGCGGCTGGTGCCAGGGGACTCTCGCGGGGACCTTCTTGCCTTTCTTTGTGCCGGGGAAGGAAGCTGGCAAACGGCTCGCATTGTTCGGAGCCAGGGAACAACAACAACAACTGGCTGGGGTGGGACCTGGCCAGCCCTTTGACCTGCTCCATCGTGATGGCTTCATAGGAATAGAGCACGAGTCGGTGTTGTTGGCTGGTTCCTACTCATCTCCCCTCTCCTTTCCCAGCGCAGCCCGTGTCGGAGCCGTGCTGAGCATCAGGTGAGCAGCTCCTCCTCTCTGACCTGGCTCGGAGCCTCTGCTCCCTACCTGCAGAAGTGGCACCGTCACAGCGATCCCTGAAGTGACGGCACCAAAAGTTCCTGGATATTTTGAGCCGCGCTGAATCGCGCTAACAGCTCTCTCCGTGCCCATCAGTGGTTAATTTATTCGTTAGGATCGGTGTGGGTATGCTTCTCGTAGAGCTAAAATGCTGGAGCTAGCACTATTTGCTCCTTCCCTGACAGTGTTTCCTGAGGGGGGTTGTGTTGCTTCAGGATATGAATAATCTGGGTCAGCCTGTCCCAAAATCAGTCTGAATTCCTTCTAGTAACTGTCATGTCTGCAGCTGCCACATTGTGCCTGCCTGCTGAAATGACAGAGCATAGATATCCTTGATTCATGGAAGGCAATAAGAACGGCAATTCAAGTTAAGAGCTTGGCATAGAGACACTCCAGAAATGCCCAGGAACGAATAAATATAGTTTTGACCCTGAGATAAAAGAGCTTTGCTCTGACAAAACTTGACCTACCTCCATGGCAGCTGAGGGTCAGAGCAGGGTCTGGAAGGAGATGGCCCCAGGTGGGTCTGTAAGTGTTGTCCGTGGGGTTGGAGTGAATCTGGGGGCTGCTCGTGTACCAGTGGCTGACCCTCAGCCCTTGGAGAGCTGCTCCTCGCTGCTATCTCACCACCCATGCTTGGCTTTTTTTTTTTTTAATTTTCTTTGAAACACATTCCTCATCTCTTTCCCAAATCCTGTGGAGTTACCTCTGCTTTTCATCAGCAGCTCTCCGTGTGTCTTTGCGTGCTCCCCGAGGGTTTGCCAGGTGGAGGTGCAGCACGCAGCGCCCCGCTCCAACCTCGCCCAGAGGCTCTGCGAGCCTGGGTCCCACGGAGCTGGGAAGCTGCCGGCAGGCTGGGGCAGTGCAAACTCCCCGATACCCCTGTCGGTCACAGGCACGACTCACAGTGACCCCCCCACAGTTCCCTCAGCAACATGAGTGCAAGAGGGACGTGATTTTAGGGTTAGGCGGCCACGAGGCTGCCGATGGAGGGAGCGGTGCCGACTGCCCCATGCGGGTTTGCAAAGGGCTCCAACTTGGCACGAGTCCTCTTGGCTGCTGGGTGTTTTTTCCTTTAGAAAGGCTCGGTTCTTATCTTGCGAAAATATAGATATTTCTCCATGAAGACAGAATTTCCCTCGTTAAACATCCTGGCTCATCTGCTCCAAGAAACGTTCTCCTTTCATTATTTGGGTTCATTTGCCAGATTTATATAATTATTGAAGAGAACATGAAACAGTGAAAATAACGCTTTATGGGGTTGGTTAGACTTTTTATAAAGATCTTAACTCAGTGAAAATGCCCTTCTGACTTGCCATCCTCTGTCAGGAGTTGCATAGCAACTACCTGCCCTCCTAGGTCCTGTTTGGAACTGAGTATTTCTTGTGGAGAAGATGAACTTGACTTAAAAATAGATATTTTGCCCCTGTTGAGTCATTTTTCACTGGAAAAAAAAAGTGCTTTGAGTATGACTAAACTTTTCACAGATCGGATCTGACAATGGACATTTCTTGACATTTTAGAAATGTTTTTGTTTGGGACAGCTGGATTAAAACCAAAAGAAACCAAGCGTTGGACTGAGTGATGTTCCCCTCTCATCCAGAGGCTCGAGGACGTTCCCATGACATGGAGGACAATGCATTTTAACAATTTATTTTTTTTTTTTAGCCCAAAGGATTTTCCTTTGTGCCAAG